TTTTTTTAATTATACAAAATCGATAAAATGCAATTACCTGTCTCCTGATCAAAAGGAGGGTACGAGACTAAAAGAAGACTGAAGTCTAATAGCAGGTGCAGGGAAAACCAAACAAAAATTGTTTCGGATGAGCCTGCCTGCACTTTTTAGTGACTCTAATTTCTTTTTCCCAAACAAACGACTTAACTATTCTATTCTTTTTCTTATTTCTTTCTCTAAAAAATAAAAACTTATCGTAATTTTCTTTTAGAGTCATTCAAAACTTGAAAACTCAGTATCAGTAAAGTATTTCCATAACTTATATGAATTAATTCTAAAGGACACCGATAACAATCACCTTTGAGTCGGACAAACTAGGGCGAGGAGGGGTAAGGCAGGGAAAGGCGAGGAGGGGCAATGTAGGGTAGTGGGAGGAGGGGCAGGTTGGGTAGGGCAGCGCAGAGGGAGGAGGGGCAAGGCAGGGTAGGGAGAGGCTGGGTAGGGCAGCGCAGGGCGAGGAGTTGCGAGGTGCAAGAAATTGGGGACGTTGGTTTTATAAGTTGCTAGCATCTATGTTGCATGACAGGCCAAGTGCCAACCAACGTCCATGGGAGAACTCTGGATGAGGGAATTTTTTAAAGGAATTAAGCTTGATAAAAGATTTAGTTTTCTAGTTCTCTTGATTACACGGGCGAAAAAATATTCGATAACGAGTACTTTTCACTCAGCGCCCAGATTAACTCCTTTGAACTCGGAGAAAACTCCCAAGGAATTTTTAATGCAATCGGGAGAGACATCTCTGCTCGTCGCCTTTAGAGGGATCACGACTTTTCCGAGAACGACAATCAACAGTACGTAGACCGGCTGACAAAAGCTTACGAAAAAAATGCGACTGAAAAACAAAAGAAAAAGGAGAGCAAAAAAGGAATTGCAGAGACAATTAAGCAAACGGGAAACGAAGCGAAGGAAACTAGGCCGAAAACCACGAATCCTAAAAAATCATAATTTTTTCCAGAAAATTAATTGAAATAAACTAACACCGGAAAGGAGTACACCTTTTCACTACCTAAATGAAGGTGGGTTTAATTTGAACTTTCAAGAAATTGAGCATTGTCTGAAATTTACAATTTTTCACAATTGGCCATTCTGTGCCTTAATTTATCTACGGGAAAACAAGTCTAGTAACCGATAGCAATAACCTTGCTTAAGGTCAGGGTAATTAACAGACTATAAGTACCATAAAATGATCTTGAAGCTTCCAAAGCTGTTTGTGCATCGGGAAAATCAGGTCTTTAATCTTTGTGGTAGAGTGATAAACACAGATGCGAAGCTGCGCTTCGCAAACATTTGCGAGAACACGGCCAAAAATCAGCTCTATCAACTGAAATAAGAAAAAAAAATAAGCCTCGAATTAGCAAAACCTCGGCTACGAGTCGATTCGAATCTGCGACCTAACAAATTTGTGTCTCACGCATTAACCAATCAGCCACGGGTGCTTAAAATCACTAATAACTAGCCACCAATAACCCAGCTACATATGCTAATAAATTTCCAATTCGATGCAGCAAAAGTAGCAACTATTACAAAAGACACACTTTTGCATGTAATAAATTGGAAAGCATAAAGCCAAATTATGTATAAATTATGCATTTCAAAGAACTGCGAGATACCTTGAGTTGCAAATTTTCTGATAACGAGTTTTTCATCTTTGTACTGCTGTTTGAAACAAAGTTTTTTCGATTCATTTGATGAAATAAAAATGCATCAGCTGTGTTAACTTTTTAGTAATCAAATATCAAAGCACATATGATATTATACTGCTACCGCAGCCTACTGATTCAAAAGTTCCATCAAAAGTAGCACTTTTAATTGCGACTTAAAATGAAAAAAAATAAAGTTCTTACTAATACACTTTGCTTCGCAAGTGTAAAAACCAAGAAAACTTGTTTCTGGAAATTCATACATTCCATTCCGATAATTAACTTGCTTGCATTGCCTGGAATTGTCCGACGGATCTTCTGCACCAAGTTTTTTTAGCTACAGGCAAAGAAATAACGAACATGATAGGAACTTGATTGCTACCCTTAATAATTTAACTTTAGGGCGTAAAATTTGACAATATTTATTATATCGACCGATACGATAGAAGTTATATCGACCGATCGATTCCGTTTATTTTTTCCGTTTACTTTTTCAATAGATTTAGACAACTCTAACCAGTCTTCAGGCAATTTCACAATAAGCAAAACGACAAATCTATTTTAAGTAGAATCAGGGCTAAAAGCATGATTGGATCACGGTCACGCTGTATTACATCATATAAACCATTCATCTATTTATGGTCTGTTTGGTCGCCTGAAACACATAAATGGCGCTTTTGATCACTGCTATTTGGTGTGGTTCCTGGAGCGAGAAAGGCTATAGTTTGGAATTGATGAGGTAAACCAGTTCCCTGAATACCGGCTGTGTGTCTCTGTCTGAAGATGAGTGCTCTTCTCTTGGAGCTCCGGAAGATAGTTCATAATGAGTCGATAGCATTTGTCGCATTTCTTCTTCCTAAAACAACTAGTACAGTGAAAAAAAATATTGATGCCGGAAGGTAAGAATATGAAAAGCTTTCATGGAGCAATAAAGTTATTTTTCACGAAAACTTTTTCTTCACCTCTCTTCTTGTGACAGGTCAATGCCATTGACGTCCGTCTGAACAGTCTGCTTGATAAGACTTCCGAACAATTTCACTCCCATCTTGAGAGCAGCCAGCCCATTGGCCACGTAAGGTGGGTGTCTGGATCTACAAAGCTCAATCACTGATGGCAGAAGTCCACACAGCAGATCTAGGGACCACACTGACCTGCGAAGATGATAAAACACACTTATTAATAATTTGCGTTTCGGCGATTCGCAGAGGATCTATGAAAGGCCTTGCAGCCTGTCTAAGCATAGTCCGTTTCTATTATTTCCCCACATTCCAGACTTGAGTTATTTTGCCGCCCAAAGCTGCTTTTTTTGCGACTCAAGCCCGTTTTTTTCGTCTAGAACTTTCACTTAGGGCCTTTGAGTTATCACATCTTAGTTGGCGTAGTACTGTATTATTGAGCAAAATAAATAAATTCGTCGAAACTTCACACTGCAACACCGCTTTGCATCGTTCTAAAATAAGCGGAGTAAGAGCCCAACTTAGCTGGAAGCCCTCACACTGGATAATTCTATTGGTTTTAGAGAAAGTGCTGTGATATCAGATAAGCGCAAGTAATTGTAGTTATCAACTCGCATTTTCCTGACTTCCATCTAGCATGAGACTTAAAAAGACATAAGCCGAGCTCTTAAAATTGGAATAAAACTCACTGTTTGTTGTTAATGACTGAAAGTATGTCGTTAGTCACTGACTGGTCACAGAACACAACAGCATCATCCGAAGCTCTCTGAAAAGAATAGCAAAACCATGGCTGTGGTGAAATTATACAAATGCGAAGCAAGGCGAAAACTAAGACGTGGAAAGCGGAGAAAAAGATCAAAATGAGAGAAATTAAACAAAACCACTTTGCAAGAAGTTTTGGAAAAAAATTCTGGCACAGTTTCTTAAGCCCCCCCCCCTAAGAGACCTACGGATGAGACCCAAGCATGTACTAATTTTGAAAAATCATTCTGTATAAAAAATGCATCTCATACAAACGCACAAATAGAGCGGGTTTTTACATTTTTTATGCGGGATTGCATTTGTATATGCAGGTAATTTCACGAATGAATGTTTTAACTCAATTTTCTGTAGTAATACCGTTAACTTTGAACTACTCTAGGCTATACTCAAAGCTAGCTTCAGAAAAATCCATATTTTCTCCCCCTAAATCGATTAAGGGAGGAAATTGTACAGTTGATCCTATAATCCCATTGCATACCAAAATTTTATTATAAATGATTTATAAAACAATAATCCAAAAATTATGACCTACTTTTGAAATGCATAAACTATACAACTGCTTCATTTTAAAAACTGACTTGCATTTTAGCAAGCTCGGACGAAAGTTAACTGTAGTCAGTAAGCAAATTTCAGACACGAACAATACAATTACGTCTAATTTCCCATAATGGTAGTTTTAACTTCATTTTTTCAGGTCACGCTTGACACTAATTTGCTTGTCGTCTAATTTCATAGATTACTTATATTTTATTCGTATCCCCCCCCCGTTCAAATATGTCTGCTGGGTGGAATCCCTCATATGCGAAGGACCGAATGCGCGAAAATAAAAATCAGCGAATTAGATTTCAGTAATCCAAAAATTGGAAAGAAAACGTGAAAATATAGTCGTCGCAGAAACTAGGGGGATAAGGTCTATACTGTCCAAAACGAATAAAATTTAGATCGCGTGCTTGAGCCAGGTAAAAAGCCATTGGAACAAACCAACGGAAAAATTTAATTTAAGCTTTATCTTGTCTAAAGTCAATTAGCCTTGAAACATCAATTAAAAACAAGATCCAATCCAAAAATATTTCATCTTTCTATCGGCACAAATTAAAGGCAAAAGAGCGCTTCTGATTCATATTCACGAGCAAGACTGAAAAAAAAACTCGAAAACTCAAACTAATTCGATCAGATTCAAAAAATATTCGACAAGCGCGTAATATGAACAATTTACAGTGAAGCACTGCCTTGTTATAAACTTGTTATATGATAGATTAACCAAATCTAACAATTATAATAGCACATATGAATGAAAATCATCGGCATAACCAAATTTGGTTTGAATTTGCACAAAATTATTTTTTTTTGAGTGTATTATATGCAGTCACGTTAGATTTGGACACTCTTATTTTAAATCATGACAGCATCAGTTTATGGGTTAGATTAAATAGCTGAAAGTTCAAAATGTACAGATTAATTCATAGCATTTCGCATTCTTGGCATTTTGCTTTAATTTTTGCTTATTGTGGAATGAACAAATAAGTGCTCCATTAAAACAATGAGAATATTGAAAATCGGAAACGTAATCTATATGAAACAACCAGCCGAAATATATTTCATTTTTAATTAAAAATCAAATCAATTAAGTGAGCAATTTCAACAGAATACTAGGTCGGACTTGCGATCGGCCGTCGAATCAGACAAAAATTATTCACAAAACGATTTCAAAAAGATAAATGTAAGCCGAAAACACAAAAATATTCTGAGAAAAAGGACTCGGACCTCTCGACTAAGAGTCATTGCCTTAACCACCTATCTGTAGAACTTTGCCATACACTAATTTCACGCAAACAGTAATCTTAGATAACCAGCAGCAAAATACGTTTGTGATACTAGGGATTTTAGAAGACCGGTTTTAGCAGAACAATTATAAACTCAGAAAGCTAACTTCAAACGCGGCATTGGCGATTAGCGACCGCTTGTTTGTCTGCTCTTCAATTCAACACGAGTGTTATTGTGTGCGTAAATCTTCGTTTTGCCGCTAATTTAGACTGTTGTGTTTTTGAAGTTGGTAGTTTTGCTGACAAAATCGTGAAAAAATTGTCTTGTTGGGGAAGTTTGGCCCCAAACTGAGCGTCAATTTGAGTCTGTCAATCAATCATGTATCATTATATTTCGCTGGTCTGCTAAAAGACTCAATTTTCACTTTTAATGCTGAAAGATTGTTCTCTTAAACGATCGGTCCCCGTTTGTAGTATTGGAAAAGCTACACACGACTTAGGATAAGAACGCCTTTTTAACTTCGATTCAGATTTCAACCGAACGACTTGACGTTAAAGTTTAAACATCCAAATAACTAACTTTCCAAATTCTGAAATTTTTTTTATACTTTCAGTTTTATTCACCTTGGAAAAATGCAAAGAATTTTAATAAAGTTTAACGGATGACCGAGGGAACTTAATATTCATCAAAGACTCCAGTCAGGCGGAGTGTGACTATTGTTTTGGCTTTGAAAAAAATGAATGCCCCACTGCTCTGAATAATCACCTAAAGCAGGTGGAAATATTATGAAAATCTCCAGTTAAAGTAAAAATTGATTTTTTTAATTATACAAAATCGATAAAATGCAATTACCTGTCTCCTGATCAAAAGGAGGGTACGAGACTAAAAGAAGACTGAAGTCTAATAGCAGGTGCAGGGAAAACCAAACAAAAATTGTTTCGGATGAGCCTGCCTGCACTTTTTAGTGACTCTAATTTCTTTTTCCCAAACAAACGACTTAACTATTCTATTCTTTTTCTTATTTCTTTCTCTAAAAAATAAAAACTTATCGTAATTTTCTTTTAGAGTCATTCAAAACTTGAAAACTCAGTATCAGTAAAGTATTTCCATAACTTATATGAACTAATTCTAAAGGACACCGATAACAATCACCTTTGAGTCGGACAAACTAGGGCGAGGAGGGGTAAGGCAGGGAAAGGCGAGGAGGGGCAATGTAGGGTAGTGGGAGGAGGGGCAGGTTGGGTAGGGCAGCGCAGAGGGAGGAGGGGCAAGGCAGGGTAGGGAGAGGCTGGGTAGGGCAGCGCAGGGCGAGGAGTTGCGAGGTGCAAGAAATTGGGGACGTTGGTTTTATAAGTTGCTAGCATCTATGTTGCATGACAGGCCAAGTGCCAACCAACGTCCATGGGAGAACTCTGGATGAGGGAATTTTTTAAAGGAATTAAGCTTGATAAAAGATTTAGTTTTCTAGTTCTCTTGATTACACGGGCGAAAAAATATTCGATAACGAGTACTTTTCACTCAGCGCCCAGATTAACTCCTTTGAACTCGGAGAAAACTCCCAAGGAATTTTTAATGCAATCGGGAGAGACATCTCTGCTCGTCGCCTTTAGAGGGATCACGACTTTTCCGAGAACGACAATCAACAGTACGTAGACCGGCTGACAAAAGCTTACGAAAAAAATGCGACTGAAAAACAAAAGAAAAAGGAGAGCAAAAAAGGAATTGCAGAGACAATTAAGCAAACGGGAAACGAAGCGAAGGAAACTAGGCCGAAAACCACGAATCCTAAAAAATCATAATTTTTTCCAGAAAATTAATTGAAATAAACTAACACCGGAAAGGAGTACACCTTTTCACTACCTAAATGAAGGTGGGTTTAATTTGAACTTTCAGGAAATTGAGCATTGTCTGAAATTTACAATTTTTCACAATTGGCCATTCTGTGCCTTAATTTATCTACGGGAAAACAAGTCTAGTAACCGATAGCAATACCCTTGCTTAAGGTCAGGGTAATTAACAGACTATAAGTACCATAAAATGATCTTGAAGCTTCCAAAGCAGTTTGTGCATCGGGAAAATCAGGTCTTTAATCTTTGTGGTAGAGTGATAAACACAGATGCGAAGCTGCGCTTCGCAAACATTTGCGAGAACACGGCCAAAAATCAGCTCTATCAACTGAAATAAGAAAAAAAAATAAGCCTCGAATTAGCAAAACCTCGGCTACGATTCGATTCGAATCTGCGACCTAACAAATTTGTGTCTCACGCATTAACCAATCAGCCACGGGTGCTTAAAATCACTAATAACTAGCCACCAATAACCCAGCTACATATGCTAATAAATTTCCAATTCGATGCAGCAAAAGTAGCAACTATTACAAAAGACACACTTTTGCATGTAATAAATTGGAAAGCATAAAGCCAAATTATGTATAAATTAAGCATTTCAAAAAACTGCGAGATACCTTGAGTTGCAAATTTTCTGATAACGAGTTTTTCATCTTTGTACTGCTGTTTGAAACAAAGTTTTTTCGATTCATTTGATGAAATAAAAATGCATCAGCTGTGTTAACTTTTTAGTAATCAAATATCAAAGCACATATGATATTATACTGCTACCGCAGCCTACTGATTCAAAAGTTCCATCAAAAGTAGCACTTTTAATTGCGACTTAAGTTGAAAAAAAATAAAGTTCTTACTAATACACTTTGCTTCGCAAGTGTAAAAACCAAGAAAACTTGTTTCTGGAAATTCATACATTCCATTCCGATGATTAACTTGCTTGCATTGCCTGGAATTGTCCGACGGATCTTCTGCACCAAGTTTTTTTTAGCTACAGGCAAAGAAATAACGAACATGATAGGAACTTGATTGCTACCCTTAATAATTTAACTTTAGGGCGTAAAATTTGACAATATTTATTATATCGACCGATACGATAGAAGTTATATCGACCGATCGATTCCGTTTATTTTTTCCGTTTACTTTTTCAATATATTTAGACAACTCTAACCAGTCTTCAGGCAATTTCACAATAAGCAAAACGACAAATCTATTTTAAGTAGAATCAGGGCTAAAAGCATGATTGGATCACGGTCACGCTGTATTACATCATATAAACCATTCATCTATTTATGGTCTGTTTGGTCGCCTGAAACACATAAATGGCGCTTTTGATCACTGGTATTTGGTGTGGTTCCTGGAGCGAGAAAGGCTATAGTTTGGAATTGATGAGGTAAACCAGTTCCCTGAATACCGGCTGTGTGTCTCTGTCTGAAGATGAACTGCTCTTCTCTTGGAGCTCCGGAAGATAGTTCATAATGAGTCGATAGCATTTGTCGCATTTCTTCTTCCTAAAACAACTAGTACAGTGAAAAAAAATATTGATGCCGGAAGGTAAGAATATGAAAAGCTTTCATGGAGCAATAAAGTTATTTTTCACGAAAACTTTTTCTTCACCTCTCTTCTTGTGACAGGTCAATGCCATTGACGTCCGTCTGAACAGTCTGCTTGATAAGACTTCCGAACAATTTCACTCCCATCTTGAGAGCAGCCAGCCCATTGGCCACGTAAGGTGGGTGTCTGGATCTACAAAGCTCAATCACTGATGGCAGAAGTCCACACAGCAGATCTAGGGACCACACTGACCTGCGAAGATGATAAAACACACTTATTAATAATTTGCGTTTCGGCGATTCGCAGAGGATCTATGAAAGGCCTTGCAGCCTGTCTAAGCATAGTCCGTTTCTATTATTTCCCCACATTCCAGACTTGAGTTATTTTGCCGCCCAAAGCTGCTTTTTTTGCGACTCAAGCCCGTTTTTTTCGTCTAGAACTTTCACTTAGGGCCTTTGAGTTATCACATCTTAGTTGGCGTAGTACTGTATTATTGAGCAAAATAACAAATAAATTCGTCGAAACTTCACACTGCAACACCGCTTTGCATCGTTCTAAAATAAGCGGAGTAAGAGCCCAACTTAGCTGGAAGCCCTCACACTGGATAATTCTATTGGTTTTAGAGAAAGTGCTGTGATATCAGATAAGCGCAAGTAATTGTAGTTATCAACTCGCATTTTCCTGACTTCCATCTAGCATGAGACTTAAAAAGACAGAAGCCGAGCTCTTAAAATTGGAATAAAACTCACTGTTTGTTGTTAATGACTGAAAGTATGTCGTTAGTCACTGACTGGTCACAGAACGCAACAGCATCATCCGAAGCTCTCTGAAAAGAATACAAAAAACCATGGCTGTGGTGAAATTATACAAATGCGAAGCAAGGCGAAAACTAAGACGTGGAAGGCAGAGAAAAAGATCAAAATGAGAGAAATTAAACAAAACCACTTTGCAAGAAGTTTTGGAAAAAAATTCTGGCACAGTTTCTTAAGCCCCCCTAAGAGACCTACGGATGAGACCCAAGCATGTACTAATTTTGAAAAATCATTCTGTATAAAAAATGCATCTCATACAAACGCACAAATAGAGCGGGTTTTTACATTTTTTATGCGGGATTGCATTTGTATATGCAGGTAATTTCACGAATGAATGTTTTAACTCAATTTTCTGTAGTAATACCGTTAACTTTGAACTACTCTAGGCTATACTCAAAGCTAGCTTCAGAAAAATCCATATTTTCTCCCCCTAAATCGATTAAGGGAGGAAATTGTACAGTTGATCCTATAATCCCATTGCATACCAAAATTTTATTATAAATGATTTATAAAACAATAATCCAAAAATTATGACCTACTTTTGAAATGCATAAACTATACAACTGCTTCATTTTAAAAACTGACTTGCATTTTAGCAAGCTCGGACGAAAGTTAACTGTAGTCAGTAAGCAAATTTCAGACACGAACAATACAATTACGTCTAATTTCCCATAATGGTAGTTTTAACTTCATTTTTTCAGGTCACGCTTGACACTAATTTGCTTGTCGTCTAATTTCATAGATTACTTATATTTTATTCGTATCCCCCCGTTCAACTATGTCTGCTGGGTGGAATCCCTCATATGCGAAGGACCGAATGCGCGAAAATAAAAATCAGCGAATTAGATTTCAGTAATCCAAAAATTGGAAAGAAAACGTGAAAATCTGACAGAAAGTAAACATTTCCAGGGACTTAAAATTGATATAGGCCGAATAATAAAAAACGGTAGAAATATGCAAAATTTTCAAATTGTCACTGACCGCCGCTGAATTGGAACAAATTTTATATTTCAAGGGTTTCGTTATGAAGATGCAAAAAATTGCTTCATTTAACTCATTTTAATTGAATGGCAATTGATTTTTGTAAGTATTGACTTTCAGCTAATTTTCGGTCCTTCGCGCATAAGAATAGCACCCCAGCTGCTGCTTTCATTTTTTAATTAGCCGACGAGTAAACAAAAACCGCAAAAAAACGAGTTAACGAAACAGCTCTTCACAATAAAAATCAACATGAGAAAGGCTACTAAAACAAACTCAGATGTTTCGATAACAAGAACATAGCCAATCGAAAACTCGAAAAGACTAATGAAGGCAAGCAAACATTAAAAAAACACTGACTTTCTTGAAAAAATCTCGAATTTCAAAGGAAAAATAGATGCCCTTTAAACCCTTTGAATTTCTAAAACAATTTATGATTGGCGCTTTTTATATAAAATAAACCCAACTAGAGAAAACTGGATCAATAGATAAAGTTTATATTCCGCTGGAAATCTGAAAATTAAAATCCACTTTTAAAACTAGAAATCGTTCGTTCGTTTTTTTCGCGCCATTCCCACGTTTGTATTTGGAGAGTGCTATTTACGTCACTTTCAGCACATAAATTTCAATTGAACTCATAAAGTGCATTACACCTAAGTGCATTCATAAATGCATTAACATGTATGATTGCACATCTGTAATTATTAGGGCATTTTAAGACTTTCCTTAAAAAACAAAAAAAAACAGCAAGATCTATAAAAGAGTCTTCACTACGTTTATTACTCTTAAAAACGCCCATAACAAGAAAAGCTATCAAAATACCACTTCATAAAAATGAAGTTCAAACAGCCGATAAAATTTAGTTAGATTCGCCCACTTACCTTCCATGATATGAATGGGTCTGCAGTTGAGGATGTGAGTAGTGTCCTTATAGTGTCTAGTTTCCTCATCCTGTCCACTAGAGTGTCCCTCACTGTGTCATGGCCCCTACAGTTCCTGGCCACTACATGTTCCAACACACTACCCACGTCTCCAACTGCATCTAGCTGCACATTGTTCACTTTGATCTAAATGCAGGATAAGCGTCTTTTATGTTGCTCTGAATGTTCCAAAAAGTGCCCAAAAACTATAGCTTCACATAAACAAATAAAGGTTAATCAGATCTCGGAAACTCGGATGAGCTGATACAGGGAAATCAGTTACTTTTTCAAGCAGTTAAAAAGTGTTAATGGACTGAATTTCACCAAAAATACCAAATTTTTGTTAAAGATTTTTGTTTGCTTTATAAGAAACTTTATAAGAAATGTAAACTGTAATGTAAAATTGTAAAATAAGCAAAAAAAGTCTTCACAACCCGGTAGCAGATTTGGGGGATGGTTCAGGCGCCTCCCCCTCTCGAATTCGACCCACTGACCACCCAAAAGGTCCCCTTGGTCAAGATAGGGTCTTTATCGTGAAATCAACTATCAATTAGGTCGACCAAAAAAGTGGCCATTTGTCAAAAAAAAAACTGAGAATCTCCCTCGAGAAAATCTTAGATCTTAGCTAAATCCACTTCCTTCATAAACATGCACAAATGCACTTACTTTATGGTCAAACTCTGCGATCAGTGAAGAATCAAATTCGTTATTCTGTGGTCCTTGAGCACCTACGTTACTCTGCTTAACTGACTCCCTCTTTTCCACTTTCACGCCATGCCCATTAGGTGAGTGCACGTGATTGGCTGCTTTGGGAGAAACTGATCTGCAACTGGTGTGTGGCCTAGCTTCTAGATTGACGGCGTTGTTTCCGGGGGAAGGCTGAGGTTTGGAAGCTGAAATGTTGGAGGCGGCACTGGTTTCTGGAGCACCTGGAGGTTTGAACATTTGTCCATCTCGGCTAGGCGATCTGTCTTAAGAAAAAATCATCTATTTTTAACTTTGTATTATAGTGATATTTAGAAGTGCGAGAGGTTTTCCACAAACGTCTAACATGCGCCGAACTTCCGTTATTTTTTGGAAAATGTGTCTAATGCATGCGCTTCTTGCTCAAAATTAAATTTTAACAGAAAAAAAGGACTGCTTGCCCAAGATTGATTTTTGAAATAGAACGAAACAAGGGGACCTTAGAGCGGCGATGGGGTCAAAAAACTGCGGTTGATGCTGGTTGGTTGAGGCTTCACTTACTTAGCTTTAGTTTAGGGTTGAATATAGCTCTGTAGTCGTCTTCATTCTCGATCTGCACTTGTGACACGTTGTCTTCGTCGTCATTCCTAGCAACGTAAAAATTGGGATTATCAAATCATTTATTTCTTAACACAGAAGAAAAGTTATGTGGTCATAATTTTACAAACTGACTGCTATAGAAATTTCGATGCGATAAACTCGGACATTGTTCAATTGTTGAACTCGGTCATCAGCACACAATTTTTACCGGAAAGATCTTAACATAGAAACCCTGAAAAAAATCGGACTAACTCGTTAGAGTTGACACTGTTCTGTGGTTTGTTCTCTTTTGTGAAGTTCTTCCTAGAACCCGAGGAGTAATTGGGGGGACTGAGTGGGGTGTCCCTGTTCTGGTTATCTACACTGGACTGCTGTTGTGACACTGGTGAGGGGGGCACATGTGCTGCTGCTGCTCCATTGGTTACCTGGCTGTTGAGCCGCTCAAAATCCACTACATGTGTAGATACACTGGTCTTCGAGTGGTTGGCCACAATCTGGAAAAAGCGTGTTAAGATACGCATTTTAAGTTATAAAAAGTATCATTTTCAGACCAGCAACTCATCCAGAGCCTCGAAGAGTTTCTAACCATATTATGCAAAGAAAAACAAGGTGGAAAATACTTTCAAATGCTATTCTTAGAATAGAAACTTCCCAGAAATGACATTGAGTCAAATGGAACAAAAACGATAATGGAGTTGAAAAGCGGACATGTTTGAATGAACAGTTTCTCTGATAAATCGGATAGGTTAAGCATTCGGTGAAATTGAGCATACAGCAAATGCTCAAATTGAAACTTGCCATCCGTTAGCTCTTCCCTGAAGCTCACTAAATGTTTTGAAGAAAACAATTCCATCATGAAATTTGAAAACCCCCAGGAGTAGGAGAGAAATGACCTGATTCAAATGACAACACCGCCCAGCACCATGAAAACATTTTTATGCTTGACGATTGCTAAGAAAACTCCCTGACTTGAAGATACTTACTAACACGTTCACCAGAACTTCATCCTAAATAAAACTATGAAGACAAGTCCAACATGCCCTGTTCCATTTTAACTGTTTGGCCAGGAAGACAATTATTTCTGTCGACAAGGCAGGTAAGCGCAAACTTTAGAGCAGAAAAGCTCTCTCTGAAAATTAGATGTAAATTTAAGTCCCATCCAAGAAAGCGTTTTTTAAAGAAACAATATCCTTCTTTATTCTGCTATGGCAATTAGATCATCTCTAGCGATTCTGAGACCACCCGTGAGAATAAGAAAGAAGAGTCAGATCAAACTGATTGTCGTCAGCTTCATTGTCATTTTAAGATCATAGATACTTTGTTATATTACTTAGTTACCCTTGAAAAGCAATTGGTACTAACAATCTGGCGGGATATCTGCCCTATGGCGCCCACGTGTCCCCAATTGACTACTAGAGAGTCCAACTGTGAAGTCTGAGGTTCCCATGTGAACAACTTCAAAGAGTGGTCTGTGGCTGAGAAGAGGAAGCGACCCTCCTGCTCGAAGTAGATACACTTCACTGGCTGGGTATCCGGCTGACTGGTTCCGATCATCTGGAATGTCTCCAGGTCCCAGAACTTCACTGTTCTACAAACATCAACAGCAATCAAAGTTATGAATAGACACTAAGGACTGGTCTACTAACGTTTCAAAAAATAATGCAACATATCAGCGTTGCAAGATCCGCATAACGCCTGCGAGAACCACAGATGCAAGGAGTTTATAACTAAAATAACTGGTTCTGAGATTCCGCCATGCTTCATTTTTGCGCAACTAACAAGCTGTTCAAAAATTCATCAACCTTCTTCGCTATTCTTCAACTTTGATCACCGTAAAATATTTATATGTTTTTTTCAAATTGGGCATCACATATTTGAGCAAACAAAAATTACAAATACTAAAAAAAAATAACACACAGTTTGGAAACGAGCGTGAGGCTTGTTGAAAACTACCTTAGAAAAAGTTAACATCGAGATTGCGAATAAGAAACAAAGATACGTATAAGGCATTTAGAAAGAAAGTGCAAACGAGAATTTTACGACCACAGTAGGGATTCTTTGTTTAAAACTCGAAATGACGATAGACATTGAAAATGCAATTTTCTTTACTTGTCTGAACTGCCCGTGGCATATAGGAATTCGTTTGGATGGAACACGCCACTTTTCACAGGTGCAGTGTGTTCCTTGAAGTCTGCAATGAGGGATCCAGTCTTCAACTCTGTCATTTTGGATGTGTTGTCCTCACTGGTGGATGCCAACCACATCCCATCCGGAGAGAAGGCAAGCGAATTGATACTGTTCTTGTGCCACTGAAATCACAAAAAGAAATGTTAAAAACATCAAATCAATTTGAAAGATAAGAATTTGAATTTTAAGTCTCGCAGTTTTAGTGCAGAAAGTTACAAAAATACTCAATCCAACCTTGAGCCAAAGCCAGTCTATACAACCAACAAAATCAAAATTGCTTTGAATAATTAAGGGTCAATGATTGAACCTAGAATAAAATCCCTGTCGAAAACTGGGAGACAAGGTACCTGGATTTTTTCCAGCTTTAACATGAAAACATTTCCTTTTTGAACCAAAAAACCTCAAGTATTTTGTGGGTAATTGTCAAGTAATTTTTTGAATGAAAAGGTAAGCGAGTAAGACATCCAAATTGAGGGTATGAAAGTAAAAGTGTTGGGGAAACTGTAGTATGATTTATGATGTTCCCAAGCTTATCACCCCGTGTTTTGTAACCCCCTTTTTCTTAACCCCCTCTCATATAACCCCGAAATCAGATAACCCCACTACAATTTAAAACCTTTTTAAAACCAATTGTTAGAATCAAAGTGAAAGTTACTTGAAAAGGATTCGGAACCATATCGCCGGTAAACGTCAAAGCTTTAATTGCGAAAAAATTTTCAAACCAAAATGAGTTAACATGCACGCTGCTAAATGCGTTTTAGATTTGAACAAAAATGACCTTGCCGATAGTCTAGACTTTGATATGAACTTGAAAACGATCCGACCGACATGATTCACATTGGTGCATACACAAAACAGTCCCATACAAAAGAGTCCGAAACATCAAAAAAAGGTTCTAAAAACAGTCCCATACAAAACAGTCCAAAACCATTTAAATTTTTAGCGCTTCTAAGAAACGGTGGTAAGTTTTTTCTGTTTTATTTGGCAGGAACGCAAATATGCAAGCAGAGGCTATTCCTGAAAGACTAACGTGTATGGAGTAAAGTTGATAAAACATTTTCGGGGTGACTTTAAAAGTTCCATCAGCCAACCAAAAGTTGGATGTTTCAAGCACACGTAGCATTTCAGGGTCGCCGAATAAAATAATCCTCTCGTGATCATTTTGCCCACAGTCAAATCTTATAAAATTTTTGAAAGTTCGGGTATTTCGAAACTTCTGGTTGCTGGGGAGACTGGTAAGACATCTTCTCGTTGCTTGCGCGCTCGTAGTGCGGTGCGAAATAAATTTTCTTTGGATGGCAGGGCTAGTTGAGTGGCAATGTTGTCTGTAATGGGCTGAATGGCGGTTGCGACCTCGACGGTTGGGGTGTTACTATCGCTTAGATCCTTGATGTTTTTCAAAACTAGTCGAGCATCAGGTTTGCCCGTGGAAATATCGTGATTATGTTGACCCCTCGTTTCAATAAAGTTTTCTCCATCCCTAATTGCTGTTGCGCGGCATTTATGGGTGGGTGTGGTACTTTGAGCAGTTTCAATTTGTTGTTGTTTTCTTTTTGCGTTTAAGGTAATACTCGTGGCCTGATACCACTAGCATTTGTTTGTTTTTCGAAGATAAAGTAAAATGGAATGACGCTTCAAACATTATATCTGATCTGATAGAGTGGTATAACAATGGTTAAAGAAATAAGCAGTATGATTTTTTATAAAACTCACAAACGTCTTTTGTTGCCTTCAATTAGCACCATGTAGGTTATCTCAGTTTTAAACGCGTGAGTGAGGGATTATTTCTCTAACTAATCGAAGTGCAATTATTTTTGAGATGCTAGAGGCATCAAGTGAATTAAGACTAACTTTTCAGGCCTCAATTAGTAAGCTTAATTGGACTACTCCTGTACTTATAAAAAGGACTTAATTTGAAACAAATTATCGTCATTAAAAGGGGGTTAAATTGTTGTGGGGTTATCATGTTACGGGGTTATAATAAAGGGGGTGTGAACAGAGGGGGTTATATATCGTAGGGTTAAAGAGTGGAACACCGATTTATTACCCAACATAGCATCCCCAACACTTTTACTTTCATACACTCAATTTGGATGTCTTACTCGCGTACCTATTTATTCAAAAAATTACTTGACAATTACCTACAAAATACTTAAGCTTTTTTTGGTTCAAAATGGAAATGTTTTCGTGTCAAAGCTGGAAAAAATCCAGGTACCTTGTCTCCCAGTTTTTGATGGGGTATGATTTTTTTACCCAACATAATATAGACAGTGTGCTAGGAAAACCGATAATGGGTGAAACTACTAACTTTGAAGTGGTATAGCATTCCCTTGCGTCTGAGGTCCCACAGTTTGAGGGAGGAGTCTGCTGCCCCTGTGGCCAGCACATCTGCATAGGGATGAAAGGCAAACGCCCTCAGGGCACTCTTGTGACACGACATTGTACGGATTACTACAGAAACGAACACAAAAGAGTTATTCGGCCAAACTTAAAGCATATACCTTAAAATTTCAGTTATCTAATATGAAGATAAAAAAGAAGTATTGCCAACCCAAAATGCAAAGCAAAAATCAGCTTGCATTCAAGAAGAACTATATTGGACTAACTTCGGATCTACTTAACAATCCCCCCCCCCCCCCATTTCAAGAAAGGGGGGAGATTCTTTAGTAGGTACAATAGGGGGGAGGGGGGAGAGATTGTTAAGTAGATCCCTAACTTCCCTCATACAACTCGTACAGAAAGACAGAGGCCGTCATAGCTCATAGATTTGAACATCATTTTATGATAACAAAATCATCAACATGACGATAATGGGACTCACTTTTGGCGGCCTGTAAGTCCCACAACTTCATCACTCCCGCCTGACAACCCGCCAGCAGGAGTTCATCACTAGTGTTGAAATTCACGGCTGTTATGGGAGAGGTCTGCCCGGTCAGATTCTGAAACAGTCCATCAAAAGCGATTAGCGTGGGAATAGACAGAAACAACTTGTTGTTATATAGAGTGATGGTAGATAAGGAACAAAACAACTACTTTCAAAATTGTTCAATTGAGTTTTTAAGCTTAGTGCACTGATAATTTTATACTCAAAACAAGAGCTATAATACCGTCTGAACTATTAGAACTTAATTATTTAAGAATTTTTCTCTTAATTATTGAAGAAATTTTCTCTCAGACTTACGAAATAACATTCAAAAAACAAACTGAAAATGAAAGCTTTAATAAAAAAAAAATACAAGACGACTGTTAAAGTGAGTATGTGATAAAACATACCATGATTCGGTGTGGCTTGTTGACGGACCATATATTGACCGAGTGGTCTACACTGCCGGTGGCCATGATCTTGGCTGTCTTCTGACCCAGACACAGACACGACACATCATCCTTATGTGCTGTGAAGTCCTCTGAAAAACACACAATTGGCACCAGAAACTTCTTGGAGAAGAGCGTAAAAATGAAAGGGGGCCTCGACTACGCAACCAACACTTTGGTGGTCGAGGCCCACCGTATTCTTCTCCATTGCTTCACGGTGTGCCAAAATTTTATAGGCCAGAAAAATAGTTTAAATTGCTCCAGTTATTCGAAGAACATCGCTTATAACTATTTCCATTTCGAGAAATTTCATTTTGATTAAGAGCCCTTATCATTCGCAATTGAAGAACTAATGGCACTATCAAAACGATCTAACTCAACCTTTTTACTATTTCAGAAGCCCTTTTAAAAGTAGCGAAACAAAAACAAAAAAATTGTTCAGGTCTTTCTGTCTTCTTGCGTCATCTTTTGTATGAAAAACATGTTTGTAAAACGTACCAGGCAACATTGATACTCAAACTTTTAAAGATGCTGAACAATTTACTAACGGAGTTTCCAAAACACAGATGTGCTGTTAGGCGGATTCATGGCGCCGATGTTTAAGTAGTTTTCCCAGCTGAAAAACTGTTCAGATCAACTCAGTTAACCCTGCAAACGGGGATTTGATCAGTTCTTCTTTGTAGCACGGTGGTTTTCATGATATGTATTCTAAGCTACCTTCTGTTCATAACTCAATCTGAAATAAATAGTAGTAAAATACATTAAATTGCTTCTATACACTTATCAAAAAAAAATTACAGTAATATTAAGGAATCAAATAATTTAAAATATTATTTAGCAACGACAGGAACAGAAAAAAAAATCTTTTTTGAATTAAGATTCAACTTATGCTAATTTTCAATGAAATTCATTTTGGAATTTAAAACAACGAAGAACCTTTTTTCGATAGAAAAATGCCGTCTGGCAAAAAAAAATAACTTTCAAAACTTTTTAATTAATTTGAAACTTTTAATGTGTGGATTGAACAAAAATTGGTCGGCCAAAAATTTATTGGTAGAAATCAACTTACAGTCACCGAACCATTGAAGCAAAAATAACCTTCAGAATAAAAAAGAGGTATCGTTACAAGTCGTTTGGCGCTAACTCCGTCCGTTAACTTGAAGCTGAAAAATAATGGAAGCCGCACTTTTAAATTAGCAGCAAATTTTCATTCAGGGCTTTAGAATCCCTTTCAAAGCTGAAATTTAGCATTCAGCGTAGTACAATCCATTTAAAAAGCAAGTAAAACTCATTTTCACAAAATAGAAGAATGAGGGTACAATAAAGCACAGAGGCAACGGTTTACGTTACATACAACAATTTATAAATCCTTTTTTTTTTAAAAAAAAACGAGCCTTGAAATAGTTTATGACGCGAAAAGATTTGATTTAAGGGCATTGCAAACAAGCATCTCCTCCCCACTGATTAAGAGTAGTCGCAACTTTGGAAAAGACCAGCAGAAGCACTCAACTGTTTTTTTTTTCGCACAATAAAATCCATTCCGAGTTATCTTAAGTCCACATTCAGCAAAATGTTGCTCGAAAGTGCAGCAGACACACGCAGGGATTAAAAGAAGAAGACAAAATCTGTTGATCAACCTGGACATGAATTGACAACGGCAAGTTTTTAAAAAGATTTGGTTCCTTTTCTTGTCTTTCTTCTTAACAACTCTAACGTATCCTAGTTAGTTAGAAGTTGAAGCTCGTTACTAAAAATTTGTCTTTTCGCAAGATGAAAAAGACATTAAACACACGCAGGCTAAGTTAATTTCATACTCTGGGCTCTAAAAGCCCCTATCGTTTAGTCTTGAGAATGGAAAAGTGTTTTTGTATGTGACTGATACCATGTGACTAACTTTGAGGGTATCTGATTTTTCATGTCAAAAATACTCAAATCAAAACATTTCCTCAACCCGCGTTTCGAATATGAAGAATATAATGTTTGCAAATAAATTTCAGAAATGACAGTTGGAAAGAGTAATGAACGCAAGAAAACTGAAAAAAAAAACGAGTTTTCGAGTTTTCAAAAAAATAGATGGCCTTAAAGCTCATTGAAATTGTAGAAGAATTTATACTGGACTCTTTTTTCTAAATTAACCCAATTTGAGAACTGGATTAATAGGTCAAACTTTAATTTCGCTGGATAATCTGAAAACTAAATTCCACTTTCGAAAATAGAAGTCGATCACGTTTTTCGTGACCTTTACTTTTTTACTTTTCGATAGCGGTGTTTGCCTTCCTTTTAACAAAGGAAATGACCTTAACTTAAAAAGAAATCAAAAGTCAAACCGCGAAAAAATAAATTTGAGCCTGAACAAATTTTAGGAAAAAACGAAAAACCATCACTGCTAAGGAGTAAAATGGCACGGTGTTAAATAGTAATACACCGTCAAAATCTGACAAACCAAAACCACCCTACACCATAGTCGCTTCCTGTCATTTCATAATGAGGTTAGAACAACAATCAGCCTCAGACTTGACACTTAACCGAAATGGGCATACCATTTTTATATACTCCAAAGCACACAAAATATGCTGAAACTTCGCATCACCAATGACCGCAAGATTCATGCAGCAGACACACGCAGGGATTAAAAGAAGAAGACAAAATCTGTTGATCAACCTGGACATGAATTGACAACGGCAAGTTTTTAAAAAGATTTGGTTCCTTTTCTTGTCTTTCTTCTTAACAACTCTAACGTATCCTAGTTAGTTAGAAGTTGAAGCTCGTTACTAAAAATTTGTCTTTTCGCAAGATGAAAAAGACATTAAACACACGCAGGGTAAGTTAATTTCATACTCTGGGCTCTAAAAGCCCCTATCGTTTAGTCTTGAGAATGGAAAAGGGTTTTTGTATGTGACTGATACCATGTGACTAACTTTGAGGGTATCTGATTTTTCATGTCAAAAATACTCAAATCAAAACATTTCCTCAACCCGCGTTTCGAATATGAAGAATATAATGTTTGCAAATAAATTTCAGAAATGACAGTTGGAAAGAGTAATGAACGCAAGAAAACTGAAAAAAAAACGAGTTTTCGAGTTTTCAAAAAAATAGATGGCCTTAAAGCTCATTGAAATTGTAGAAGAATTTATACTGGACTCTTTTTTCTAAATTAACCCAATTTGAGAACTGGATCAATAGGTCAAACTTTAATTTCGCTGGATAATCTGAAAACTAAATTCCACTTTCGAAAATAGAAGTCGATCACGTTTTTCGTGACCTTTACTTTTTTACTTTTCGATAGCGGTGTTTGCCTTCCTTTTAACAAAGGAAATGACCTTAACTTAAAAAGAAATCAAAAGTCAAACCGCGAAAAAATAAATTTGAGCCTGAACAAATTTTAGGAAAAAACGAAAAACCATCACTGCTAAGGAGTAAAATGGCACGGTGTTAAATAGTAATACACCGTCAAAATCTGACAAACCAAAACCAGCCTACACCATAGTCGCTTCCTGTCATTTCGTAATGAGGTTAGAACAACAATCAGCCTCAGACTTGACACTTAACCGAAATGGGCATACCATTTTTATATACTCCAAAGCACACAAAATATGCTGAAACTTCGCATCACCAATGACCGCAAGATTCATCGAAATCTTTAGCGATAGAATTCTACGATTAGCTTGCGCTGAAAAAAACTTAAATTGACTTAAAACTTTGAACGCTTGATAAAGCTTGGAAACGCAGAACGAACGACTGTTTATTAATTTGTACGAACTTTATTTGATTATAAACTAATAATATTTACAGTTGAGTGATTGAAGAGCACGAAAGACAACAGCACGTCATAATTAGCTCTTCTTAAGACAAAGTTTATGTTTTCAATAAATAAGTCAGATAAACTACGGTATGTTTATATTTACATCTTTTACACACTTATGAAAAAAAAAAACATTTTTTTTACAGACTAATCACTGCCCATGATATGGTTTGCATCTTTAACTACCAAATTTACAAGTCTGGCACAAATAGAAGTAAAATCAAAACCCTCTGAATTACATTCCTCTTTCAGCAACACATCTGCCATTTCTATCATTTTCTCTTCGTCTTTTGAACTGGCATCAAAACATGCTCTAATTTGGCGGTAGATCTTGGCCATCGGGGGTCCAATTAGGTCTTCGAGTTCCATTCTTTCTTCTTCCAGGTCGTCGAAGAGAGACTCACTGACGTCATTAGGGTTTGAAGTACTGCCATCTTCCACTGGTTCTGATTCGTCCACAATTGATCCTTCATCTGAGAAGTAAATAATTTCTTCGGTATAATTTCATCCTGTGCCCAAAAACTGCTCTTAAACCTATACTTTTAACTACTTGCGTGAAGCGTATAATAATTGTGGTTTCTTCTATACGCAGAGGATCCATGAAGAGCTATCAAGCCTGTCTAGGCATAGCCCTTTTCTCGTCTTAGACTTGCGTCTAAAACTTTCCCGTGGTACCACTGTTGCAGCCGAAATAATATTTTTCACATTTTTTTCTCATTTCACCGTTTTTATTTATTAAGCATCTCTTACTTGTCATATATTGTGCACGCAGTATCAGAAATATGTTTATATCCATCATAATCATACCAATTAAAACTTCAAGCTGTTCAAAAATTAATACAACGCTCAAGTTTTTTCAACATAAAAATCGTTTCAAAACCTGAAATCCACTCTTCGTCAATTCCCGAAGTAGCCGAGAAGTCGTCCGAGATATCCTCCTCGTCTCCATTGTCCTTATTCTCATCACCATCCTCTTCATTCTTCCCATTCTTTCCATTTGATGGTTCACTTTTCTCCTTTTCCTTGGTGCTATTCTTACTTTCAGTACCATTACGCGACTCTCCGTTCATAGTTTGCGTCGGAGTTGTTTCCTTCGACATCGGTTCGTCTTCGTTCTCTTTATCTTCTGTCGTTGTTTCGTCTGTCTTTTCTGTGTTTGATATGTCCAGCCATTCAGCCATGCTGTGCTGCAGAGAAACCAGGTCGTCATCTCTAAAATGTCATTTCGAATGTTGCGGAATAGTCCTCTGAAATTATTACGTTTCTCAAAGAAAGCACTCGGGCCGCTGAAAATTTAACAAGCGCGAAGTCATTTTCATAGATACTCAAAACTAACTAAAGCAGAGATCTCAAGATGAACTCGACTAGAGTTCATTTCGATTATTGTTTAAAAATCGCCAGCATTTATCTCATCATTTATCCGGCCCGCATTCCGCCACCCGTTTAGAAAAAGGACTCAATCACTTACTCGGAAGCGTCCGAGCTCTCTCCGAGAGCATCGCAATAATCTTCCTCTTCATTGTCATCTTCCTTTTCCGGACTCGAATCCACTTTCGCATCAGTTAATGCGACTATTTTAACTTGTGGAGACCCATGTTTCTCATCTTTGGTGATATTTTCACATTCAACTGGTGATTCTTTTTCGGTTGTGACTTCAGTTTCAGTTTTATTCGATTCAACGAAGGTTACTTGGGTAGTTTCTATTTTACTCTCTTCCATTATAACCGATAACTCCTTGCCGTGAACATCGTGACCTTTATTATCTTCCATGCCTCCAACTTCATCACGTGGAGATGTTTCCCCACTGATAAACTCTGTTGAACTGGCGACACTTGAGGGGTTTGTTTTGGACTCAAAACTCTCGAGTGAGAATCTGTTCACCATAGCTGTCTTGAATTCTTCGTGTTCGTTGTCCCCTGTTAATCTCACGTCAGGTTCGGAGCACGTTCTCATCAACTGCAAAATCAAGATGAAAAGTAACTACAGAACTTTCCAGTTTCCCAAAATGATACTTAAAGTTTTGTAATCAATAAACAGGAAAGACATTTTGAGGTTATTAATTTCTTACTTTTAGGTTTCGAGTGTCAAAAAGTCCTTGAAGCATCCCTGTGACCAAAAATGAGGTTCCAGCAGTTTTACCCCTAAAACGACCAGTTTCAAATTCTTATTGCCATATTTTACTGCACGCAAAAAGAAATATTCTATAAATCATACAGGTCTGGCATTCCAAGTGTTCTGTCAATTGGGATTTCGTTCAAATCCGCCGGCTTTTCCTCGTTGTTAGGTTCTGCATACGCGTCCACACTTTCCAACACCATGCTATCCGAACTGTTTGAGCCACTTTGACTGGCTCCTTCCTTTTTTACAGAGTGTGTCTTGTTCTTGTCAATAATTGCAAACATATTGTTCTCGTCGGAATGACTTTTTTCTGTTTTCACACTCACTTTCCCATGCGTTTTCCTCATCAACTCCTCAGCTGAAAAAAAAATTCAATTTAAATTAAATTCGGTAAATTTATACGCGAGGGAAAGGGTCAAAACACGACCAATTTACCTCTGATAGAAGCGCCGAAGCTGTGCCCCTGGTTTTAAAAACCTCGATTTTTCTGGGCTGGTTAATGTTGACTCACGACCTCAAGCTGCGATCACGGATCATGATGGGCCCCGAACAGTGATGTCCAGTTTAAAATGTTGAGCCAATGTTTTAACCATTAACCAATGAAAACTTTTTAACCAATTCGATTTAGCCAATTTAACAACCTTTTTTAAACCAATTGGTTCTATTGGAAATCACTGGCTTCGAACCTTCGACCTTTTTATTGCACAACAGGGACCACTGCGCCTTTGTTGATGTTTGCTGTTTATGAACAAACGAGATTCATTGAAGCAAAAACAAAAACAAAATATCGAACATCGCGTTGAGAAAACACGCAACAAAAAATAGCTTCAAACTTCGCTTTATCTGTCCATTTGCATAGATTCTGATACACCTTGTTAAAACCAAGACAAATCATCCTTACGTTTCTCATCCCCATCTTGATCTGTTTGTCGACTATTCTCGTCAATCGGAGTGATCGGCACCTTCGAGAAAGTTCCCATTTGCCTTGCCCTCCATTTCGCTCGACTCGAATCTTTCCTTGACAAATTCGAATCCCCACTTCCGTTTTCTCCATCGTCTTTAAAATCTTTCGACTCATTAACATCTTCAGCTTCTTCGTTTTTCGACTCTTTATTTGGGTCTTGCTCAGACTCCAATGTTGAGTCATTCGAATTTGACATCATACTGGTAGCTGCCAGAACTGGAAGATTAGAGAAAGTCATTTTGTTATTGGGGCTCCACGCACTCTTAGCTTCTTTCCCGGACTTCGAGTCGGGACTTTTAGGACCTAGACTGTTTGAGGAGGTATCCGGGAGGTCTAGGCAGTCTTCGATTGCTTCCAGGTCTTCTAGAACTGGCAATTTGGAGTATGTCACTTTGCCTCCATCAGGTGTAGACCATCTAAATAAAATCCAGTCACCTTGAGGTCGACCAAAAAACCGAACATCTTAATTGAGTGATTAATATTTATTTCATTGACATTCAACAAATTACCGCCACTAAAAACTCTTATAGATGCAATTGACATTCTCTACTCAGCTTTTATTCATATTCTATTTTTACAGCTTGTGCTGTATTCGTGCTCAAAACTACAAACCACCGTAGGGAATAAACGCATTTGTATTTTTTACTTTTTAATTGCGGCAGGAGACTCCTTTCTGTCGGCGCTATCTCTAGTTCCTTGGTGCATTGTAGACTCTGGTTTAATCGCCACATCAGAAAACGTGAAATCATTTGGAGCACCACTCCACTTTGACTTGTTACTTTCTTTACCAGCATTGCTAGGCGTATCTTTTTCTGGCATCATCTTCTCATTCAGACGTTTTAAAATCTCAACCTTCTCTCTTTGCTGTGGCTGGTCAGCTCTGGACCCGGTTGTAGGTGTTTGAGGAGCTGAGACGACGTTCAGTGCAGCGGTTAGAGAAGGCGCAGGTCCGGATATGATCGGCTCAACTGGTCTGTTCTGTCCACTGCGCGGAGTGTTAGCACTGCTCGCTCTGACTGGCAAAGGCCGAGAGGGTAACCTGAAAACAAATCTCATGCTATCTATACTCTTTCCGTATAAGTTTCTCTAATCACAAAAAGAGGCAAGGCGGAGCTATATGACTCACAATACTGTAGATAATAAAATCAATCAAATAAAAAACATCTGCCAAACATTTATCTCAGGAAATACGATACGCAGTCTTAAAATTTTTTGAAATTACAGAACTTTCAGAGAAAAAAAAAGAAATTCAAACGCATTCGACAAAAATTATGTCAGCGTGAAAAATTTTTTAAGACTTTTTCCCTTTAAAAACAGACCTAAATAAGCGACAAATCACTTCGTTCAGTTACACTTAAAGATAACAGTACATTATCACATTAAAGTTCTTTGAAAATCAACAAATTTTTATTGCTGGCTATTTTTTAGATAACTATCCCAATTTGAGAAAACAAGATCAGAAGACATTTTTCTCCCACTGGGAAACCACATAGAAATTAAAAACCGATTTCGAAACTCAAAGTCAACCATTTGCACTTTAGTTATTGTAGAGCGCATTTCGCCGTCCATTTTTAAAAGAAGTTTGATTAAAACGATATGTGTTAAAACAAACATAGCCAAGTAAGTTGAAAAGAGTAATGAACGCAAGGGAAAAGAAAAAACTGACTTGTTTTTTGAGAAAAAAATTGAACTTTCGAATTTTAAAGAAAAAAATATTTGCCCATAAAACTTTTTGAACTTCAAAAACAATTTATGACTAGTGATTTTTTGATTTAAAAAACCCTGAAAATTGGATCAATCGGTAAATTTTTGATTCTGCTGGGAAGTTTGAACATTTGAATCCACTTTCGAAATTGAAAGTCGATGACAATTTCCGTCACCTAACACTTTCGCTGTTCGCTAATTGAGTTTGCCTTCCTTTTAACAAAAGAAATGAACTAAAATGAAAAAAAAAATCAAAAGTCAAACGGCAAAAAACCAACATTGAGCGTGAACAAACTTTAAGACTTTTTCTTGAAAAAAAATCACCAAGACCTATATAAGAGTACTCACTAAGTTCATTAATTTGAACCAGAAGTCAACAAAAAAATTTGAGAGTGAGAAACTTTAATGACTCCAGATACGACGAAGAAAAGCATGCTACGAAAACTATAAGCCATCGGAAAAGAAAACTTTGAGAAACAATGACAAAATAGGTTCTTTATAGTGATTTGAGAGATTTTGATCGAATAAAAGAAAAAGCAACCCCCCCCCCCCTTGAAAAAGAAAAACTTTGAACCGCCCCTAACTTTTGGGGAAAAATAATTGGCCAATGAACCGAACATGTTCAATCAAGGTAATGATCGAAATGATGAAGGTCCAAATTCTCTCAGCCTGTTAACCATGACTTAACACAAGCAAGAACAAGATAAAAAGCAGCAGTTATAAAATGGAATAAAAATGTAGAAAAAGCATCGACTTAGTAAAATTTCTGCCACATGTCGGATTCCATCCTACAACCTAGAAAATATGCATCTAGAGCACTAACCACTCAGCCACGGACGCTTAACAATTAACAAACATTAGCCTTAAAAAAGAAGGTTCGTCTAATACACTATGCTCGCAAGCTCGCCTTCAAGATGGCTTACATTGAGCAAATGAAGAAAAAGTCCTGGAAAATAATCTAAGTGAATGACGCTTAAGCATCAGGGGAAAAATAATCCCGCAAAAAACAAGAAAAAAAATTATATGGCAACTGGGCCGACAAAAACAAGCTCACAAACAACAATCAAAACAAGGAGCAGTTATCAACTTCGGATTTAAAATTTCTGCAATTTCCCGAATAATTAATTAGAATAAAAATATAAACTTTTCAAACAAATTCTGAAAGCAACCAATCTTATAATTTTCTTTGCTAAAAATTTCTTACCAGAAGAAAACCGACCTGTAAGATAAGTTTTCTATATACTTCAGTTCCCCATTATGAGACACTTGCTCACGCATAATAATGTCATAATATCGAAACGAACAAATGGACCTCGCTTTGATCATACATCGTCAAAATTGATCATTTAGATATGCATTTACTGTTCGTCATTTTAGGTAAGCAGACAGATATGTTGAACATTTATATCTCATTTCAAATCGAAATATTTCTGACTTACGGTCGCATAGGGCTTGGGTTGTCGGGTAGGTTCTGCACCTCTAGCTGGTCACGGTCCATTTTAGCTAGCTCGTCCAGCTACAAAAAAAAACAATTTTGAGCTATTGCAATTCCCTAGTGCGATAGATTAAGCAAGGAAAACTATGATTGATAAAGATGAAGATTATCAATACATCAAGCACTAATTAGACAGAAATACCTTGTGAAAGTCCTGTCAGGGCAGCGAAAATGAAAATCGTTGATATAAACCATACCTTACAATTGTAGAAGCATGAAATTCTACATTTCAATACAGGCGAAGCGGAGCTTCGCAACACTAGCGATACAACAAAAACATAGCATTACAGGAAAGTGAATAAATGGAAGTCGGATTTTTTTTTATAAATAAAGTTGAAAAAATGGCTTGAAAAAATAACTTGGAAAGATTCGATTATTGGGCGGCAACTAAGGCAAAAAATTCTGGTTAGCGTCCTGTTGAGTGGAAAACAAACGGCTGTCATAATAAAATCAGATTTGGCAAGGTAGTTTTCAAATCGTAGAAAAATTTTCAAAAAAAAAACCATGAAAATTTCGGAAAATGGACTTTTCCAAAAGAATAAATGCTTTTCTAAAAAAAGTGTGTCACAGTTAACGCAGGAACAGTAACACAACCATGTTTTTTCAATTGAATCAGAAACCGCCGAACTTGCGTGGCAGTGTTTGACAAAAAAAATCGAAAAAATTGTCGAAATCTGAACATTATGACTTTTCCCGAGTCACTACAGTTTTTCTGATAGGACCTATATTCACGGGGCCACTTAACACTTAAACAGGCAAGATTCCCATCACCAGTTTTTTCGATGGAACTCTAAATCTCAGATTTAGCAGGGTAATTTTCGATAAAAATGAGATTTCCAAAAATTGCAAAAACTGTCTAAAATTCAGAAAACAGACTTTATATAAGACATAACAATTTTAGTACAAAAGTTAGAGAGCCGTGGTAGTTTTTGAGGAAAGTAGAAAAAGTTCAAAAAAGACCAAACTGTCAAACAATGGCTTTTTAAAGACCACAATTTTTGTTGTAGAAAAAAATAGGGATAGTGGCTTATGTAAAGGAAATCACTGCCTGTTCTTTCCATTGAAACATCACTGACTGTTTTTTCCATTAATCTAACATTTGGCGTGATAGTCTGAGAAAAATCCAAGAAAATGAGCCAAGAATTCCCACAGTTATTTTCCAAGGTCGTCGAAAATGGAGTAAGGTTTAAAAAAAGTCTAAGAAAAAACGCAGACATGCAATTTAGTAGCCGGTCTATTCGTTGGTATCACATGAAAACCGGTGAGGTAGTTGCCGAGAAAAATAAAGTACTTAACAAAAAAAAATCCGAGTCGTCTGAAAAAATATCAAACAAAAAAATAAATCCGATAAATTTTCGTAATCCCAGAATTTGACGAAGAGGAATTTTCTACCCTCAGAACTACGCAATATGAATTGACTAAGTCAAAACAAACATAAGCCGAAACCGTTTTATCGAAAAAAAAACTAGAAACTAAAATTTTCAAAATCAGACTTGATGAAATGACAAATTGCATAACTTTCAATCACAGTTAAAAACTTTTCAAATCAAATGAAAAACTATGCTTTACAAGCAAGCCGATAAAAACAGTACCAGATAATTTAAATTATAATTTAAAAAAGGGAAAATGAACAGACGGAAATTAAACCGAAAACCACTATCCGAAAAACATTTTTTGAAAATACTTATTTGGAAAATTAACACAGAGGCAAAGCTTCGCCAGCGAAGACTAGCGATAACACGACAAAAAAAGCTCTATAAAGTGTAATAAGAAAAAGTAGAAATTAAAAACCACGGACGCTTAATAAATCGCAAAAACTGGCCACAAAAAAGCAGAGAAAATTCCAATGCTACAGATCGTGATTATAGCAAAAGAACCACCAACAAATAAGTGAAGCAAGCTAGGTTGGTCAAAAAAATTGTAATTTATTACCTAAAAATTGTAAACACCAATTTACTACCTAACTGAAGGTAGTCGTAGAGTTTTCAAGAAATTGAGTATTGAAGTTTATCATTTTGATCATTCTGTTGACAAAGTTATTTACCGGAAAATGTACACGGAAAAACTCTTTTGTTAAACAAAACAACTCTTTTGTTTAAAAAAAACTACCAAGGTTTGTCTAAAATATTTTTGTAGAACATGTGAACCAAAAGATTAAATCTTCACTAAATATTTCAGTGTTGACAGATAAACAAATTTTGTTTCGTACTCGTTTCTTCTCTTTGGCATATGCTTCCTCTCGTTTCTGCTGCAGTTGCTGTCTCAATTTGGCCGCCCTTTGTTCTGCTTGTGCTTCCATCTCCTCTTTTTTCCTCTGCCTATCGGCAGCTAGATCCTGAAAAGATCAAGCAACAAATGAATGCCGGAGATATTTTCTATCACAAAAAATGACTTGATTTTTAACGCATTTTCAAAGAAAAATATATTCCCTTACAGCTCTTCGAATTTCAAGAACAACTTATGATTGACTCTTTTTTGATTAAATTGACCCAATTTGAGACAACTAGATTAATGGGTAATATTTTCATTCCACTAGATTATCTAAAACTAAAATCCACTTGAAATTTTAAATCAACCACGTTTTTTTCGCACCATTAGCACTTTCATTCTTGGAGAGCCTAAATGCCTTTCTTGCAGCAACAGAATTTGAATTGAGCTTGAAAAAATTCTCGAAATATCAAATTTGAGCGTGAAGAAATTTTAAGACTTTTCCTGCAAAAAAACTACCTATATAAGCAGGTGCGGATCTCGGATTTTCTCGAGGGGGGCGAATTTTCAAAAAAAGTTTTGTCTACCTTTTTTTTAGGTCGACCAATTTGATTTTCCGAGGCCTCCCAGGGCATTAAAAAAGACCGTTTCGGTCAAGTTTTTGAAAAAACAGGCCAAAAAAAGAAAACTTTTGTACCAAAAAATCGCGTTTTTTCGGCGCGCGCTCTCCTCTCAAAAATTAGTATTTATTGACGCCGAAGGCGTATCTAGAAAAATTTTAGGGTACCTCACCAAAAATAGATATCTCAAAATAGTACAAAGGGCGACCCTTTGGGTCGGCAGGGGGTCGAATCCCTGGGAAGAGGAAGCGTCCGCCTCCCCCACCCCTAAATCCGCTACTGTATATAAGTGTCTTAGACTCGTTCATAGACACTTGAAAAGAAATCAATCTGAAATTCTAACTGGAACTCTTGCAACATTCGGAGCATCCCCTGGTCTGGCTTCGCCCTGGAACCCACCGACGTTTCTCTTCTGCTGGTAGTTCTGCATTCTCACCTGGCGAAGTTTCTCCAAGTAGTATATATCTTCTTGCCTCTGTTTTTCAACCTGTGCGTCTGGAAAAAGGAAAAATTGATGAGACATAATAAGACGCGAGCTAATTTAAGGTTAAGGACGATAAAAAAACAACACATGACCCGAGAAACTGTTCGACAGTACCAGCTCAATAATTGAAGCTCAATGATTAATTAATAAACGAATAACTGGCGAAAAATTAACGAAAAACCGTCACTCAATTGGGAGGCGGTATCAGGGTAAGAAAAAGTCTACAAAAATAAAAAGAACTAGCTTTATAATAACCTTAGCCTCCTATATCAATTGATTCATGTAGGTATTGCTTTAGCAATTCTTACTATGTTGATAAAATGGACTTCGTAAATTTTTCTTAACCTCTTTGCTCCTTTTCTACTATTGCCTTCTGTCTTTTCTGCTCGAGCATCTGATGCTGCACTGCCCATTGACCATGAGGCGTGGCAGCCGGAGTATTTGGTTTCCGGATCACTCCCTGGCCAAAAATACCCATCTCTCCTCTCCCTCTAGCCTTGTTCGCCTCGCACTCTCGTCTGTTCTGAAGATACTCTCTGCGAAGTCTTTCTTGCTCGCTTATCTGATGGTTGTACACTCTGAAATTTCACAAAGCTCGGAAACTTTTCACCCTATAGATATACTTTTATAAAATTATTTTTAAAAGTACACTTGACCTAAATATAAAGACGTCATGGATTATTTTTCACGTCATGTAGTTAATTCATCACAGCAACTTTCGGGTAAAAATATTTACTTAAAACTATAATAAGCAACATTCCATTAATACTTTTTGTTTGAATACCTGGCGCCTGCAGCTTCGTTGTTCTCATTGATGATTCTCGCAATCAAGTTCTGATTGATGGCATCCCCTCCTCCGCCCATTGGCTGTTCTGTCCTCTTCTGATCTGAGGGGGTGACTATGTCTCTTTTGACACTAACTGGATCACCTGGCTTGTGAATCACCCGTTTGATTGCTCCACCGTCCGGCCAATCTCCATTACTGCGCATAAAGGTAAGTTCACTTCAAACTTGCCACTAACTTGTAAATATTGCAAAATATTGCTTATGATATTGCATAATGTTGACAATTCAAACAATCAGTTCACTATTTGATATCAAATCTCTGCGACAGCAAGTTAGTGTTATCTCATTTCAGTCGAAACAGCATTTATGTCTCACATTTTATCAGCTGGAGGCGCTTGTCTCTTCCTCATGTCTGCTAAGTACTCCTTGTAGTAGTCGCGCACTCGATCCACGGGCTGCAAATATCAACTGATAACTTTCAACCCGTAAACATATTTGTTAATTTTTACATATTCCCAGGTTTCAGAAATCACGGTAAACCATAGCCAACTGACAGTTGGAAAAGAGCAATGAATGCAAGGAAATTTTATTAAAAACTGACTTTTTTTAAAAACCTTCGGCTTTTGAATTTCGATGAAAAAATAGATGGCCTTTCTTAGAATTTTTAGAACATTTTATGATGGACATTTTTTGGCTAACATTAACCTTGTGGAGAAAACTTGATCAATAGGGAAAACTTTTATTTCGCAGGGAAATCTGATAACTAATTTCCTTTTTCGAAACTAGAAGTCGATCACATTTTTCGTGACCTTTACATTTGTGCTGTTCGACAGTGGATTTTGCCTTCGTTTTAACAATGGAAATGCACTGAGCTTAAAAAGAAATCGCAAGTCAAACCGCGAAAAATCAAAATTGAGCGTGAACAATTTTTAAGACTTTTTCCTGAAAAACAATCACGAAGACCTATATAAGAATGCTCACTACGTTCATTACTTTTAATAACGTATAATAGCCAACAGGCCCTCAACTGGTCCTGTGAGAAAAAACAGGGCATCAATCTTTAGACAGATCTACAACTGACATTATCAACTCTCCTCAACCATCGGTACTTTTGATCGCTTGGACAATTTGCGGAAAATTGGCCGATTGGAACTAATACTTTACCTTTTCTTCTTCATCTTCTTTTCCCACAGGCACAGACAGCAGCTCTTTCCAGCTGTTCTCTCTCGCTTCTTTCATTTTCGACTCCTAAAAGTGAGTTTTTTTGTCCAGACTGTTTTTAATCTATCTGCTCTATAAACAGCTATGGAGGCTAGCATCTCGGGTACAGCTGATAAAAAGAATAGAAAAAATCACTGCGAGTTGTTTCTGGCATTAAAATTCAAGATGTACACGCAAAATATATCACTGAATTGATAATTGAGACTGCAAATATAGGATGACTGACCCTCTGTTTAGCATTCATCTCTTTCTGTTTATCTGACAGTTTCTTCTTGTTCTCAGCCTCCATACTATATTTCCTCTGGGCCTCTTCCGCCCTCCGAAGAGCACTGGGTCGCAAGATCTCCCCTGGTTTCCTAAACCCCAATATTGGTTTCTAATCAAGTATACTATGAATAATCAGTGTAAAATAATTAAATCTACTACAATGAATCGAATAATATCAAAGAAAATTGATAATTTTTTATTCATTTCTTAAGCGAATATATATTTTGTTTCAATTTTTAGAGTAAAAGATTTAGACTTTCGTGATTATTTAGTTTTCTTGAGCATGTATGGTTAAAAATGAGCAGACCTCAGGTTATTGACGTTTCTTTTCACCAGCGGTTTTCCATATATTGCTGCTGGGTCGTATTTAGCAGCTGAAGGGGCATCTAAAATCAACATTTTTCGTCAGCATGACCAATAATTGCATTAACTTTCATTATATGTGATCGATTATTAGAACGAACTGTTAATACCATTAAAAAATTCAGAGTAATACAGTCCCTCTATAACTCTTTTTTAAACAATTTCAATTAACCATATTACACGTGTTAACACATCGCTAAATAAGCTGGATAGCGATATCTCTTCGGTTAATCGCACTGGTTTTCTCAGGTGTTTTAAAATTTTAGCTTATTCCTTTGACTAACTTGAGGCTGCGGACGATGGTCGAGATGGGTTCTTCGAGGCCGATGGAGGTCTCACCCATCCTTCTTGCTTTTGGGCCAAATAGGGCCTCGAAACCACTACCTCTTGCTTCGGAGCAGCAGCAACAGACGCTGCTACAGCTGCTATAGGCTTAGCAGCTAGTATATTCTCCTTGTGAAGTATTGTATGAGCGAATTCTTTGTCGTATATTTCAGGTGCCAGCCTCTTTTCGACTCTTTGGGACAAGAATGGCATTCGCAGAATTGTGTTCACAGCTGGCCGGTCACGAGGAGATTTTTTAAACATAGCGGCTATCAGATTCTTCATGTGAACTGAGAATTTCCTAGAAACGAAAAAAAAATTCCAAACATAGCCAACAGACAGATGGAAAAGAGTCAATGAACGCAATAAACAAAAAAAACTGACTTGTTTTTTTTTGTATCAAAATCTCAACTTTCGAATTTCACCGAAAAAAAGATACTGTTAAAGCTCTTAAATTTCTAGAACAATATATTATTGCCACTTTTTGGATAAAATTAACTCAATTTGAGAAAACTGGATCAATAAGTAAACTAAAAGTCGATCACGTTTTCGTGAACTTTACATTTTTGCTGTTCGATAGCGGATTTTGCTTTCCTTATAACAAAAGAAATTAAGTGAACGTAAAAAGAAATCCTAAGTCAAACCGACAAAAAGTAAATTTGAGCCTGAACAAATTTCACGACTTATCCTGAAAACAAACTGAATAAAAAATCATCACGACCTTTACAGAGTCTGAACTACGTTCACCGACTCTTAATAAAAAACATATACGAAATAAAATCCGTAATAAATTTTAGTTAATATCGAACCCAGAGGCGAAGCTGAACTTCGCACCACTTGCGATACAACAAGTAAATGATTAAAACAGCAATACATTCAAGAACTACTAAAGAGGACTTCGAAAGTTGTAAGCGAAGAAGAAACAACTAGAATAAAAAATGAAAACCATCTTTTTGTTTAAAAATAATAAAATTTATTAAAGAGTTCACAAATGGGTTGAACTTGAGTATTCGAAAAATTAAATTTGAGGCCAAAGTTCTAACGATCTTATGAATAATATCGGAAATTTCTAGGAAACAAAATATTAGGCAAATAAGCTGACAGCTAATTAGTTAAAATCAACCAAAAATGCTCGGCAAAATTTTATTGGAAAATATACATGTACAGCCAAAATAGTATCCACGAAAGCCAAACAGGTACTGAAATGAAGGTGACATACACATTTCGGAAGCTAAACCAAGAGCTAAATCGAAAGCCGAAAAATCATCAGCAAAAAATAACATCGATGTGTTATAAGTACACATACAACCCATCTATCAAAATGATTGAAGAAATTTTTGAAAAACAACCCATGCCAAGACAATAGAATGCAAAATTAGCATCGGAACAAAACTATCAAAGCAATAACAAAACACAAAAAACTCACTCAACAGAAGCCCTTCCTGTCAAAAAAAAACTCAAAAAATTCGAGTTTACAAAGATGTAAAAAGAAAATTTCGATTCGGCTGGATTTTTGAAATACTCAGACACTCAGCAAAAACAGTCTAACTTGTTTGCACCAAAAAATAAACGATTCTTAGATCTGGCAACTAAGCCGGCAAAACATAAGCAAACAAATATAGGCTGAATTTTTTTGAACCGGAATTTTTACCGTTTGAAAAACACATTTCCTGGTCAGATTCGAACCCAGGGCCTTTGCCTTCCCAGGCGCATTCGTTACCCCCAGGCTAAGCGTGCAGGAGACGGTGAAAAATGTGAATTCTTAATGAGCCACTGTACCACCAGAAGTCCATGAGTCCTGTGGCTAAGGTTGTTTACGGGAAAAAAAATCTAGTAGTCGATTGCAATACCCTTGCTTATCGCAAGGGTAATTAATTATCCAATTCTTACGTGGCTGAAATTGGCGGGTAACTTCCTCTTACAATCTTCATTGCCAGTCCTCTCACATTCCCAGCGTCAAACGCATGTTTTAGAGTACAGAGCTCATACAACACACATCCCATGGCCCACACGTCACTTTTGTTGTTGTATGGTTTGTTCTCGCAAATTTCAGGCGAGAGGTAGTAGGGCGTCCCTATTAGGGTCTTAGCCAATTCTGAGGTGTTGTTGAGCACCCTTGCTATGCCGAAGTCACCTAGCTTCACAGTTCCTTCTTTTGTTAGGAAGATGTTCTGAAAAACCAGAACCATCATCATAAAAATAGCAACGCTTTTTACAAACACAGGGAGCAAAACTCACGTCTCATTGAAAATTATTTGTTATCATGAAGCTTTCCGCTTCATTATATCTCAAATTGTAATTTCACGTAGTTAGCCATAATAGCAGTAACAGACACTACGGAAATTGGAAACCTTGATTGTGGGGTGGTAGAGTGAAAATCAAGTAATTTCTTGTTTTTTTTTTTAAAATGAACTCCTCGTCAAAGTTTAATGTCTTTCATCAACTCAAACCAAAAAGTGACGTTCAATCATCTTTTTGTGACGTCAACAGCTGCTAACAGACAATTGGTGCACTTACACTGGACTTTATATCTCTGTGGAGTATCTTTCTGTCGTGGCAGTGTTTGAGAGCGAGGGAGAGCATCACAAACCAGTCTAGTACTTGTTCTTCTTCGAAAAGTCTACTTTTCCTCGCATTGATCCTTTGATGCAAATCTCCGCCATCGCAGTACTACAAAAGACTTAACAGTCGCATACTTTTTTTAAAGATTGATCTTATTGGGCAGTGATTTTAGTCTTTCACAGTTCTGAAGACCACATATGGAGCAATGACAGATATTTCCTATTCGGAAATTGTCCAATATACAAGTTCAAAATTGGATAAAACCTTGAAGTCCAATTCTTTAAGCATCTTTTTGAGATAAACAATATATGTAGTAAACACGCTTACCTCCATCACTATATACAGATTTCCTAAAACAAACAAAAAAAAACATAATTTTTGGCTATTTCAAAATTTGAATCTGATTGAATGATGAATGTTACATCTACTTCGTGGACCCATTCTCCGTTTCTCACCTTTTTCTGAAACAACAAAACGGAAATTAAGTTTCATAGCTCGTTTCAAATAATTTCTAGTTGCAAGAATTTCAGTTGCAGCTTATTCGATAAAAACATCGTGGCGTTATTACGATTCTTATTTTTTATGCCAATTCAATCAAGCAAGAAATTGAAATTCGACAAATAATTCAAGCAGTAACTTGATAATGTTTGTTCGTGTTAATAGTACCTTCGAAGCTTTCGACATATGATACAATGTAGGGGTGTTTGAGTCTGGCCAGCAGATCCACTTCCCTCTTAGTCTCTCTCTTCTCCTTCGGAGACATCTGAAAAGATTAATCTTAACGTTTTCTCGTTGCTCAAGGACGATACAAAACGTATTACCCAGCAAACAAGGACAGCAGGTTGCTGTGCAAGTTGCACAGAATGTTCCGACCCTATTCTTATAAAAACTACACATGATTTTTGTCAATTTGGTGTAGTTTTTTGAGCGTGGTGTGATAGAAGGATCTACACGAAAGCCTAGAATTTCCGTTTATTCAACATTCATTTGGAACAGGCAAATTGGACAATAGTTTTAGACGAAAAAAAAGACCAGAAAAAAATCAATTTTTTAAAAAAAAAATCGATTTTTTTGTAGAAATTCTTTGAACTTTGGAAAATGACGCTAAAGGAAATTCGAAAACTATATTTCCTTGATTCAAATTAAATGTTCAGGGCTTAAATAAAAGTTTCACGGCTTATCTTTGTATAATCAGCCTAATCTCGCTCACTTTACTCGCTGGAATTGAATTAAAATTCAATTTTTAACCAGTTTTTCTCGACACCGGAACACCTTAATGAAACTTTTTTAATACTGTTTGAATCACCGTTAAAAAGGCGTCAATAATAAAATATCACTCGACCCAATCCGATGATTGATTGTGGTTGCTGATTTAGGTGAAAACACAAAAAAATAACACACTTCGAAATACACAGTTCCTCTCAATTATCAATGGTCAGAACAAAAATAGGGAAGCATTTATGACTTCAGCAAGAATACAGCAGAGGTTCTCCGCAATGAGTTGAACAGCAGAGATTTTACCTTCCGGGTGAATGGTCTTCTACATATGCTAAGTTGCCCCAAACATACGCAAGTTTTTCTTATTTAAAGAAATCTATGAAATCCAAAGCAACAATTGCTAAAAAAAAAATTAAGCTCAATTCCTAAATGTTTTCTAAATGAGGGTATACCACTGATCTGGTGAAATTGAACTTCGTTGTTAACCTATGCCGACGGTGGCAATAACTGTAGTAACGACAAAACTAAACCACCGATAAACAAAAGCAGAGAGCACACGAGGCTACATTAACACTACTAAATGAACTTTTCCGACCTTTAGCATCTTGATCTCCTTCAGCACCAACTTTTCCCCCTTCCCATTCTTGACCAGAAGGGCCTTCCCAAATGACCCCTCCCCTATGGCCTTCACCACCTCGTATTCTCTGATTCGACCTCCAGGCACCGACGCCATAGAAATTCATACACACGGTTTTTTGTACAATTATGTGTAGTCGGGTTATGTCATCCTTATATCACACTATTGACATTGTACAAATGAATCATTATGCTCTCCAATCTGAAATGTTTGTTAAAAATGAAATATGGTTTAAAAAAATAACTGAATTCGTTACAACTAATTAGTGTTCAATCAGTTCAAAAATAGTCAGATATCATTTTTTTATTTTTCAGAATAAAATTAAAACGAAAATAATCAAAGGAAATTGAAACGAAACTACACATAGTAAAGTTAGCACGGTAATTATGGCCACGACAATACACAAGCACTTAGCAATCTTGACATCAAAGATATCGATGATTAAACTGAATGAGTTTTCATAACTAACGTAAGTATATAAGCAGAAAGAACGATAATGGAAAGTAATAAGCACGTTTCAAACGAAAATATTTCAACTATATCAAACTACAATACAGATACTAAACATTGCATGTTTAACTAAAATTAAAAGCTGGAACGAAAAAGCGACACTAGTTTAACACATGGTAAGGAGAATTAGTGAATAATCTATTTCAACTAAGGTATTTCGATTACAATAAATACATAAAATTTACAAGGTGCGATACGCTGTTTCGAGGTAGGGCTAAGATTTTGTTTAGCTTTTTATTAACCTGAAGGTGATATTACTAACTTCAGTGCCTGAATGTTCAAAGGCAACATTGGCAATATTTGGCATCTTACATAATCAACTTATAAGCAGCTAATGACAAGATACAGTTTACAGGTGACCATCGAACAAAACGACATTAACAAGCCGCAATTTTTAACTTGTAGAGTTTAGCCAGTGATGTTTCGGAATGATAATTGACTTTTTTGGAATTGACGTTTTTCTTGCAAAATAGCTAATGATTTTTGGTTGAATTTTTTACAAATTGAAAACTATCTGCCATGACTTAATAATTGCATCATTCACATTTGGGCGAAAAAATAAGGAAAACTTCGATCGAATTGCCAATAGTGGAAAGATCGGGATTCCAAACAACCACTGAAAAAAACAGAAGACATTTCAATTAAGCTTACAATTACTTCACAAACCAATCACAAGACAAGCAAATTTCAAGGAGCTTTTGGAGTGATTAAAATTGAAGGATAAATAAAGTTCATATCAAGTGACTGCCCAGGTGAGAATTAATACATCTGAAGTTGTAGAACCTTTCGTTCGCAATGGCACGATTATGCTGGTCAACATCTGTCAGTGTTATCAGCTCCGAACTCATTCGGCTTGGCGGGAAACTTATTTTTCCTGAAGGTTGAAACATTTGTTCATTTTTCATTTCCACTGATTGTTCCTGGTCGTCCATTGGTGCATCAAATGAGTTTTGTGAATACACTTCCCCAAATCTATCGTTGCTGTCTAAAATTTAAACGTTATAAAAACATAACTTTGAAAGAGCAAGGACGCTAGAAATACTGACCCAGCATGCGCTTCTTAGCAGGACATTCTTCAAAAGTGTTAAGTAGATAATCATTACTGTTGAGTCCAGAGCTCCTTCTTTTCACTCGGTGTACATGTTTGGTGCCTGGGAACAAGGCGCTTTTTTCTATATTTGATTTTTTTTCAGATTCAGGTGAGCAACGAAATGCTTCACCGTCTCCAAAGCCATGTTGATGCGCAACATCTAACTCATGATCCAGATTTCTTATAGCTGATACACCGTTTCTTTGTTCCATAGGTTTCTGCTCAAAACTGAAAAGTTGAGACTGCGAAACTGCACCTGCTAATTAGTATGAGTCATCACCGACCAGTTTTACTAAATAACGTATCTTAAAAGACTTACCTCCATAAGCACCTGCTACTTCCATCTCAATGTCGTTGTTGCAACTTCTGAGGTAATTCGGATAGCTACCTTCAAGTGGTGCTCCAGTCTGCAATGTTGGACTACCCACGTAAAAATCCGGTCTCATTTTTTCTTAAATTTATTGTGTGCTGATCGAGTTATCTTCAACCTAATTGCATCTTATAGCACAATGGGAGAATACAATACCCAATGCCGCAAAAAGGTATCAACTCAAAAAATACAACTTTCGAACAAAGGTGAAGTGTCTCTTCTCAATATTAAATAGTTTCAGATTAGTATTGAATTTCGAGGTAGCCGTGGTTGCCTCTTGTCTCAAATATTATCATCACCTGATGTTGCAAATTGTTGGAGCCAGCTCCCTAGCCCAAGCAATTGATTCTTTGGGCGAAGACGAAAATAGAGAAGTGAGGAAAGAGGTCTACGCGTACTCTGGACTCAGTCTCAATTTCCGCAACATCTTCTACGACAAAAAGGCGATCAACTTCATCAATCTCCCACGAAACTGCAACAAGAACATTGTCCTGTGGCACGATCTAATTAACAACTCGATCACCGATCATAAGAACAACGACGGGGAACCACTCTCACCGGCAGAACTCATCTCTGTTCTGAGATCAATTCCCAATTTGTACGCTATCATCTACTGCCATAGGTGGGGAGCAACAAATATATTCGAGCATCTGCTAGAACTGAACCTCACAGTCATTGACGTAACGAAACATATTCTTACAAAGACAGAGCAAATAAACAACACCATAAAAGCGAAGTACAAGAAGCTACATCAATCTTACGACCAAGAACTCCGGTCATTAGCTGTAGTTCTTCACTATTACCCAAGACTCAATCTCATCCTACGGCAGAGATCGAACCAACCGAAACCTTCAAAGAGCAGAAGGCGAGCAAAACAAAACGAACAATAGGTCAGTACCCCTGTTTTAAAAGTCGGTCTTTTCAAACCTTGTGTACTCCTCGAGTCCCTGACTCAGAGTCCAAGGGAAATATTAGGTCCATAACTGTAAGTCCATCTTTCCAAATCTTGTGTACTCCTTGAGTCCTCTGACTCAGAGTCCAAGGGAAACCCTATTCCATAAATCTTAAGTCCAATATCATAACTTGTGTACTCTTCGAGTCCCTGACTCAGAGTCCAAGGCAACTCTTAATACTTCCAAATCTTGTGTACTCCTCGAGTCTCTGACTCAGAATCCAGGTAAGGAATACCATGACTAAAAACTGTAAGTCATAAAAGCAGAAAATTGGTCCGAACGATCCTGTTTATCAATGCGTAGCTTGTAGCGCTAACCTTCATCTGACCACTAGCTGCACAGGCTTAACACCAGTTGCAGTGAATGGTATTAAAGATTTAGGAACGCTGGCAATGCTGCTATGTTCGTCATGCCATGAAAACAATGTACGTGATCGGTTCATTCGGAACTTCACACAAAGCAAACTGACCCAAAAGCTGGAAGAATTAGACATAAATGAAAAACTTCTAAGCATGGAAAACAGATTAACTCAAATCGTTGAGAAGAAAGTTGACGAAGCACTGAGGAACACCTGTGAGAAAGTGGAAAAGACATATAGTACTGTTCTGACAGGAAACAACAAGAATGCTGTACCAAAAGAACAGCAAAATCGAACAAATCACAACATCAATCAATGCATCCGATTACAGGGGATTGGCGAAGATCCCCAGAAATCGAAAGCTGAGAACCTTGTCCCAACAAATGAGGAAGTCAAGAAGATTCTAGAGATTGTTGATGTACAACCAAACACCGTTGAAATGAAACGCCTGGGAAAGTTCGATGAAAAGCGAACGAAACCCAGAACCCTTCTGTTGACCGTGGCCAACCATCATGAGGCAAGATTAGTTCTGGCGAAAAGTTTAGAAAAAAAAACCCAATTGTCTGAAAGGAAAGTTTTTCTCTCACCTGCCCTGACCAAGGAGGACGCAGCTAAAGAAAATCAAATCCTCAAAAAGCGACGTGAACTTATAACTGAAGGCGTTCCAAAAGAGAAGTTACGGATAAGAAACTTGGAGTTGTTCAATTACAACGTAAAAGTAGAGCTCAATGAAAGCGGCCCGTGACTACGGGCCTTTCTAAGCGTACTTCAAATAAATGCCAGAAGTCTCATAAACTTCGAACGTCGAGCCAAACTCTCTACTGCTGTTACATCTGGTAATTAGAGTATAATCTGCATATGTGAAACCTGGCTAAATAATCAAATAGAATCCTCTGAATTAATGCTACATGATTACATTATCTATAGATCAGACAGAGAAAGAGTGAATGATACAAACAAACACGGCGGCAGTCTCATTGCTGTAAAGAATACATTCGCATGTGAAAAACTTACTGTAGATCTGCCTGACAGCTGTGTTTCATGCAAAATTGATATATCCGGCCAGGAGTTGATATTCTGTGTCTTTTATAACCCCCCTAAATCAAGTCCCTACAGGTACTTGTCTGAAGATTTTAACAAAATATTGAATGCCTTTCCAACCTCGTCATCCCTTATCGTTTGTGGTGACATCAACTTCCCAGAAACAAATTGGCCGTCCCTAACAAGTGCCAGTGAAGAGGAACAGGGGGTAGTTGATGCCTTTGACACAAAACTCTTCAGACAAACAGTTAACTTCTCTACATGCGGAAAAAACTTGTTGAATGTAGCCTTCCATAGAAATTGTCTCGTACATGCTCAAAGGGATGAATTCTTCGATAAACAATATGACTGTTCAGATCATCAATCAATAAACCTCAACGTCGAAATAGAACACCAAGAAGCCAAACCGGTCATTGACAAATATAGAAGCTTCGGCAAAGCTGACTTCGAAGATATAAACAACGCTATGGCTGATAAAGTTTTCAATCCAAAATGCTACACAAATATAGATAAAACCTGCCAAGAGCTATATGATTACTTTGAAAATTTGTTAGAAATCTATGTGCCTCGAAGAACTGCGCATCGACAGCAGTTACCATCATGGATAACCCAAAGCACATCAAAACTCATGAAAAAGCTCAACACCCAAAAAAAACTACTCATTTCGAAACCAACAAGCTACCGCAAACGTCAAGTTGCACTAATGGAAAATGTAGTAATTCAGTCCAGTGAAAATGATCGATTAAACTATCAGAACAAACTTCTGAGTACAAGAAACACAGATATCATTTACAAGCACCTGAAAAGTCTCAACAAATCAGCATCACTGCCAAAAATAATGATAAGCGATAACACCACTGTTTCCAGCCTGGAAGAAAAGGTGAATCTGCTCAACGAATTTTTTCACTCAGTATTCTCGCAAAAAATAAAGTTTAAAATTAAAGACGTTGAATGTGACAATCCACAGATCACAAATTTCAGCATATCTCATACAACTATAACAGAAATCTTGATGACCATTGACGTTACCAAGTCTAGAGGACCCAACGGCCTGCCTCCAATTTTCTTCCAACAAACAGCCACCAACATGGCAAATGCCTTGCAGGTAATTTTCAAGAACATCAAGAGATTGAGAAAAATACCTAGTTGCTGGAAGACGGCAGCGATCTCCCCAATATTCAAAAAAGGAGACAGATGTAATGTGGAAAATTGGCGTCCAATTTCACTACTCAACATAGACAGCAAAATCTTAGAGAAATGCATCTACGGACCTCTCTACTCGCTTTTTGAACGTGTCCTTTCAAAACATCAACATGGTTTTGTCAAAGCGAAATCAGTGGCCACGAATATGCTATCATTCCTGAGTAAAATTTACAGAGCACTAGACAAAAACCCAACAGATGACGTTGTCGCTTATTATATGGACTTCTCAAAAGATTTTGACAAGGTGCCGCATCTTGAATTGCTGAAAAAGACCGCAAATATTGGTCAAGGAGGATGCCTGCTGGAAATTCTTTGTAATTATCTAAATGGACGAAAACAATATGTAAAAGTTGAGAAAACTTCTTCAGTGACTCTAGATGTGACGAGTGGTGTCCCACAGGGATCCCTCCTGGGCCCACTTCTGTTCTGCATTTTCATCAATGACCTCCCGGACCGACTGAAATTCTCTGACCCGTACATATACGCTGACGATCTGAAACTTCTGACAGTCAACACAGACCTAATCAAAGTGCAACAGGACTTGAAGTCCATTGATGACTGGGTCAAGGAGAACAAGATGGCGCTGGCTCTCGATAAATGCTCACAACTGGTGTTCAGAGGCAGAGCACACGATCTGCAGCTTTCCGGATCAAAACTTAAATCCTCTACAGAAGCGAAAGATCTTAGACTTATAGTGGACTATAAATTATCCTGGAATAAACATATTGATATGAGACTGACCAAAGCTAATAAATCATTTTACTTGATTAGAAGTAATATAGCTTATAAAACACTACCTTTAGTCAAATTAGACCTATATAAGTCTCTTCTTATACCAATTCTGATATATGGACTTTCATGTACAAATCTTAGCCGAGGAGATCTTGTACGCCTGGAGCGCTTCCAAAAGAAAGTCACAAAATGGATAGTAACAAGCCCGGATACATACTATGTTAACCAGCTGCGAGCACTAAATGTGCTCCCACTACCAATGTACTTACAACTCACGGACCTACTGCTACTCTCTAGCCTTGATGGACGAACTGATGTGTTTCCACATCTATCACAGTGCCCGCAGACAAATCTCAGAACTAAGGACGTCTTCAAGAGTGCCAAAATCAGAACAGAGAATGCGCGAGGGGAATTCACAATACGTACCAGTCGAATTGCAAACAGAATTGACAAACACGTTGATTTCACAAACAAAACTGGACTCAAGAACCGAATCCTACAACTGATGTGGAATTTCATGGATGAAAAGTACAACGAAAACAATATTTGCACTTGGCAACTTGCGTGCGATTGCAACCAATGCAGAAATAAGTGGACAATCTTCTAATAAAAACGGAAATGGAGCAACACCCATCAGCCTAGTGCTGTAAATCCACTACAACAACAACAACAACAACAACAACAACAACAACAACAACAACAACAACAACAACAACATACTTGAGATACGATAAGGAACAGATTTGGTTTATTCAATTTTATAATTTAGCCTAATTGTTGTGATAAACAATGTTCATTTCCACTGTTCGATCTACGTGATTTCAATGAATGACCTAGAGACATATTAACTATCCACAGAGTTAGTGTCAAGACCAGAACGCCTCTACTCTTGGTCGGGTGAAGACTTTGTTATTTTCCTA